TACGTAATGGTTGTAGATATTTTGTGAGACTTCTTTTAAGCAATTGCTGGTTAAAACAAATTTTTTATGTATCGACAGCTTTTAATCTTATATACAATCTAAAGCAATAAACTTATGTGAATGTAACTTATTTAAAAACCTTTCCTTTAAGAAAAATTTTCCCATAGACATATTCATTATCAATATAGCAATATTTTAAATCAATATAGCAAAATTTGATACCTAAACGCCAGATACTCAATATTAATTGGTTGAAACTGCTATATTAATAATTTCGTTGAATGACAACTCTATTCAAAGTCGAAACAATTCATTATAATGCTCTTCACCTCGTTCTTGGTAATTTTGTTGAAATATTTATGCAGCTTATTTATTTATAACCAATAAAAATTTTAAATAAGTTATATTGCGTACAAACTTCGGCAAATTAATTTTCTTTAAAAAATTTACTTGACATATCATTTGTTTTTTTTGAATTATGTGGAAACTTTATTTAGAAATTTTTTAAGTAAATAATAAAAAGTTATACGTCTACATATTAATAAAAAATAACAATCCGCCATAAATATGTGTAATATTAAAGCATTTATAAGAACTATTCCTAACCCATGCAAGCGGTGTATAAAAAGTTAACAGAACTACTTAAAAAAATTATTCATTTACGTGAGATTAGCTAATAAAAAAAAAATCATTCTACTTTTATTTTCATAATTAATATGCAATTTATGTAAATTGTCTACATTTCTTCATGATTATTTTTGAAGTAAAAAGTCTTTTAGAATACCGACTCTGTATTTTTCACAAATTTTGTTGAGCTTTGTTATTTAGACGATTTATTGTGTGCATATTTATATATTTAATTTTAATAATAATTTCGTCTATTTGATATGAACATTGTAAAAAAAATAATATGCTTATAATTTTTAATTTTCAGAAACTTGGCAGCACTGTTTTCATATTACTAACTACTTGATTATATAATATACACTCAATATCAATTTAATAAAATTTTTTGTTGTTAATTAAAAATGTTTCATATTCCTTCCACTCCATGCCAATTTAGTAAAATTTAATAAATTTTTTCAATAAGCTTAAATTAAAGTTTTCAGATAAGTGGCAAACATTTTCAAAATTATCGCCGATAAAAAACATTTTTTTACAGTTTTAGATTGACGTATAAATGGTAATAATTTATTTTATAAATTTTACTGCGACAAAAATTATAAATAGGTGGCAACCTGCCCAACAATATTCATTTAAAATAATTTAAGCTCTCTTAAAACTCTTCAGCTGGGTATCTGTACTGCAGCCTTTTTTATTATAATTTTTTTTTTTACTTCAAAATTTCAAACAGATGGCAGCTTTTTTCGTAAAGATTTCATAAAAAGTATTCAAAAACTATTTATTAGTATGATCTAGTGATTTTCTTATAACGACGGATATTAAATTGTTTTATGTTCGTATATATCAAAAAGGTGGCAACTTAAATTAAAGACTTTTCGGTTAAATGATTTACACATCAGATAAATATTACAAAACTTAAACTCATAAATGTTTTATCTTAGAATGTATATATGCACATATATCTACCTATATAAATGTAAATATGCTGTATATTTTTGCAAGCTTTTCGCACGTGCTTCTCCAAAGCAAAACGATAAATTCGAAAAGTACGCAGCACAGTCATTAAATGTTCATAAAAAATGGCTTATTGTCAGCAGCTGTTATTTGTGCTTTTTTGTCTTTATTACATGCAATGATCATATGCATCATGTCATAACCAAAAAAAAAGCAAAAAAAAACAACTATGAAAGTGTGTCAGACAGTCGGCTGTTGGAGCATGCAGCGCCGCTTACAACTTTTTTGACAACTAAATAATGGGAATGCAATTTCGAAAATTACCAAAAATTACTTTGCATACATTTATGTATGTATGTATAGATGTGAATATATGTATGTATTTATTTACTTAAATGACACCGCTATTAATAATGAGCAATTTGCAACGCCTTTTCAATGTTGCCTTACCGGCTTTTTTGGCCGTTAATCGCTGGATTGGCTCGCTATTCCGCTGCTGGGCGCTTCAAATGTCCATAACCCAAAGAAAATTTTGGTAAAACAACTAACTGAATGCTTATTGCTTCTGACACATTGCCGTACATTTGGCGACGCTTTGAATTGAGCCATATGGCACGTGAAAAATGCTTAGCAAAACAATGCGAAGATAAATAAATATTTAAACGCAGAAAATGCATAAAGTGTGATTAAGTAGAAGAAGAAGTTTTGTTTATCGTTAATGGCTTTTGAATAAATTAATTAGTGGAAGCGCGAAATATTGTAAACGCAGCTCATTAATTTTCTGCGGTATGTAATGCACATATATGCTAGGCTTTTCACAAACCTAAATGTCTGAGAGAATATTTTTATACCCTGAACAGGGAATATTAAGTTTGTCACGAAGGTTGTAACACCCTGAAGTAAGCGTTGGAGACTCCGTAAATAAGATATACCTATATATAAATGATCAAGACGATAAGCTGAGTCTATTTATATCCGTCTGTCAGTCTGTCTGTGTATACGCGAACTAGTCCCAGTATTTTGCACACGTACTTTTGCCGCCAAGAAGCTACTCATTTGCCACTATAGCATATAGCTGTCATATAAACTGAACGATCGAAATCAAGTGCTTGTTTGGAAAGCCTTTTATTTGACGAGATTTCTTCACGATATTTAAAATGGATTATTGTCTAAGCCAAGTATGCAATAGCCGCAGAAATTGTTCAGATTGGTCCACTATAACATAAAGTTGTCACGGGTTTTTATTGTATTCAGCTGTCATACAAACTGACCGATCAAGATTATTGTAAGGAACATTTTGTATTTGTAAAGGGTATTATAGCTTCGATGCAACCGAAGATAACGTTTTTTTTTATTAATTTTGCATAGTTTCTTAATGAGCTCGATATTTATATGTTAATTAGCTGATGATTTCAAAAGCTACCATGTATGGTAGACACATATATGTACATATACGAGTATATGTATGTATGTATTGTAAATGAATATGTAGATAGACAGCCGTGACTTAAATGGAGCTTGAAGCTGCCAGCTGCAATTAGTTCAAAATTTGAATAATATTTTTAGTATTTTTAGGAAATACGTAGACAAATTGAAAGAAAGAAATACTTGAAATTCATTGTGCCTCAAAATAGAAGAAAGACAGTTCAGAAGTTTACTATGAAATCGTTTTTTAGAGCAAATCCCTATAAGAGAAAATTAAGTTGAGTGACAGCTCGGCGTAGTCGTATATAAGGCAGTGTGTGCAAAAAACTAATAAAAACAAATCGGGCAACGAAAGATGTTCGAACAGAAGACGACATTTTTTTCCGAAACTCTCCACATATTTCAATGCTTAACAACTACAAATCAATGCCAAACATCTTTTAGCATTTCTAGTATACATTTACGAACTCTTTTTGAGCAGTTCTCACGGTGAAGTTAGTTTTTTGACAGTAAAATTAATTGGAAAAGTTGTACCACCATTACCTGCTAATATGGTATCTCTGCTACAGCCATTGGATTTTATTCGAATATATTTTTGAATTCGGAATTACTCAAAAATTCTCAGCAATTTTTATGTTAATTTTGAATTCACAAGTGTTATTTTCTACAATACGACTTTCAGCTTTTTGTGAATTGAGTTTCAATAAATAATCGATAGTTCAGTGTAGTAATATGCTTTACAAGTTTAGTAATGAGCTTTTCGAGTTTAGTTAGATTATTTTCTAGTTTATTTCAAGAATAGATATTTTACATAAGTTTTGAAGAATGCATATATGACTTACGTCTGAAAGCTCTAAAGAAAACTTAACAAATGACTAAGAATTAGTATTACACAATGATCAGACTGAAATTTATACAATCACTCTAAAAAATCCGATAATCGTTCTTTTGAAATCGAAGAAGAATAAACTACGAGCTTCCATTAAGCTGCCGCTGTAAAATATGTAGACGAAAATAGTCGTTTGTTTACGTTTACTGGGTAACAGTGCCGTAGTCTTGGCGGGGGTGAAAGGGATTTGCTATAAATTCAATATTTTCAAACAAATTCGAAAAAAAGCTGAAGAAACTTGGCTTTTGCACGATGGAATATATGCAAGTATATTGGCACTTCGATTCAGTCGGTTGATATCCACTTTAGTCCTTTTTCATTTCCATTCTATTGGAATAAGAAACAAATCTTATACATTTAGCCCCTATAGCGATATTATATAATATTATCTATAGAAAAGCTTTGATCGATTTTCCATTTATTTAATCTCAAGCTTTGTATCCTGCTCTGTTTTTTATAAAAAAATTTACATCTAAAAGCAAAAAAAAAGTTATTAAAAGTAATTGAATACAAGAGAGTAAGCTTATTCCTCACTAAACAGGTATAACCACTCTCTTGATAACTACCAAGTTTTTTTACCAATTTTTAACAAGTTTTAGTATTGTGAATGACAATTTGTTTGCAAAATACAAGTTACTGTTAAAATGACACACACAATTTTAATCTTAAAATGACAGGTGGATATTGCAAGCATTTATTTTTTACTTTTTTATAGAAAACGTTTTTTTTTTCTTAAACTACTTAAAAACCCACATCACCAAAAACCAACTAAGGCACTGTCGAACATGTGTTCATTTGTAAAGAATACAGCACGGATTGCTTTGTTCTATTTTTATAAAGTTGGGCGCGCCCAATCAAGCCATTAAAGCTGACAATAAAAGCCTGTTTACAGACTAATCGACAGTTTAGCAGCTGAGCGCGGCGGAACTGTTGAAATGCTAATGACTATGATATAATTTTAGATTATTTGTTGAAAATGAAAGCTTCAGACGCAAGGGGTCATTGTGTGAGAAAAAACATAAATGTTAAAGAATTCTTATCAGCTTTCTTTTCTTATTTAAAAATACCTATAAATTTCAGAGATTTTTATTGACTAAAGGCTACTTACAGCTGTTGCTGCAGACATGAGCTTGTAGCTGTTACTGCTGTCAGTGCTGTTGCTGCACTTTCTGCTGTGCTACTTGCTACTGTTTTTGCTGACTCTTCAAACGTCGTCGACACACCACTCGTCATATCCACTTCATCGCTTGTTGGCAAGCGCGCAAGTTGCTCTTCAATATCGCTTAGTTGCGCGTCATCCGGTATGGGCGCTATGCAGCTATTGTTGTTGTTGGCGCACGAAAGCATCCACACGGCATTGCGATTGCGGCAAACTCTCAAATTGCGTAGATCAGCAACATTTAGCGATTGTGGTAACAGTGCAGTTGCTGTAGTTGTTGTTGTTGATGTTGCGCTTGTCGTCATAGTTGTTGACATTGTTTTGGCGTTGGTGACGACGGTGACTTTCTTTGCTGCCAACGCCAACGATGCTTTTCTCCCACTTGTGCACACAGCAGTTTTGGTCTGCAACATTTTTGTTGTTGCCTCGACGCGTCTTGACAGGCGTCGCTCGGCCGCCTCTTCATCACGCCGCAAATTGGCCGTAAGCTGTGCCACCTCTGCCTCAATTAATGCATCCTCGACGTCCTCCATATGCACGCCAATATCAGCAACATGCAGTTGGGCTACATTGTTGCTACCGCTGGCGACATTATGTAGTTGCAGTAGCGATGGCGAGCTACAACTCGCTTCTGATTGCGTCTCAGCGTCGCCGCATGAGATGCCAGATGACAGAAATGTGTCATCCATATGTTGGTGATGCGGCTTGTGACTTAGTTTACCAGCGGAATATGATTGACTTGGTAGCGCCTGTATGCCCGTTGTTACTGTTGTTGTTATGGCATTAACCGCATTTGGTATTGACTCAAAGCAGCTTAGGCGACTTGTGGAACGACTCAAATCGTAGCTAATGAGACTGGATTGTTGTGAGTGAGTTTGTGAGGCGGCAGAGGGTGATGGCAATGCGTCGATTGCGGCCAAGCGGTTTTTCGCGTATTGAACATCGGCAGTTTGGGTGACCGCGCATGACTGCGCGCTTATAGCAGATAATGTGTGCGACCGCGCGCCAACGTCGCACAGTGATATTTCATGCGGCAGCAGTGACAATTTTAGTGGTTTAGCGAAATGTTGGTATGTGCGCGCTGGTTGCTTGAGTGATTGTGCAATTTCACACTGTTGTAGCTGCCGGCGCGTCGTTTCTTGCATTTGTACAGCAGTTAACTGCTCATGCTTTTGTTGTTGCTCAGCGCCAAGCGCTTGCTTGCTATGTTTATGGCAACGTGCAGTGATTGCCTGCTGTGTTGGCGCATTATTTGCGCTAGGCGTTTCGCTATATTTAACGTTGTCATCAGCAAGCGGCTTCTCGCGGCCATTGTTTTGAGCGTGCGCTCTACATTTATTTCTCCGTTCTTTGCTGTGACTACTTGCCTCGCGCTTGCCATTTATCATCGTTACATTATTCTCACTAAATGGCGTGCGCCTACAATGTTGCCGTCTTTGCGCACAATTTGGCGCCTTTAATTTTCGCGGCGTCAACTTCGTGACCCTTGAGAGGCTCGATTTGTGGCAGCTACTATCGACACGGTGCAAAAGAGCGCTGTTCGAAATGTTTTTCTTCTCCGCCATTTGCTTGGCGGTCACTGGCCACTCTGTGCTATCCGCTGCTTCATCGCTCGCTACTGTTTTGGCAGCTATACGTCTACGACTGCGCCTTACGCTCGGCATATTGCGTGGAAATAATTTTGCAGCGTCATTCAATGAGCTCTGCGATGCGCTGCCGCTTTCCACTGGTGACATTGTCGTGGCGCGCAATGAATCAGCAGCCTCCATATTACACGCTGTAGCGGTATTCTCACTAGTTTTCATTGTTGTTGTATTATCTTTTTTAGTGTCCGTTTCTTTTGGTGGCTCTGTGTTGTACGTGATTTCACGGTAAAGTTTCGACGGATCATGACCGTACACAAAACACAGTTTCCACCAATTTTTTGTGGCAAGCAAATGGGCGCGGCGTGCCAACGCTTTGGGTAATGGCAAATTTGCTTGCGCGGCCGTTTTCAACTTGAACGCCTGTAGCGCATGCGACATTTTTTGGTAGTTCACAAAACGCTAACACGATTTTATGGTTGGAATATATTTAATAGTACACGGTATAATATGTTATGCGCTTTAAGCAACAACAAATAAGCGGCGATCAATGCTAATACACACCGTCCACGTTTTGGGTGCACTTTACGCGGAAACTGTGCTACGGTTCCGCAGCAGAAAGCTGAGAAAACATATACAGCAAGTTGGGCGCTTTATATGTGCCACGCCTATATTTAGTAAAAAATTTTATAAAACCAGCACAAATATTGTAATCTCACATTCACCTAATTGCACGCGCGCAGTTAATCGCACTAAACTGCAAATCGAACACGGCAATGCGCCCCGAATAGTCTGTTATTCTTACGTCCGCCTGCATACAAGCAATTATTGTCAATGGCAATTATTGTGATATACGGCAAGCGGCGCGAGCGCGCGTTCTAATTACGTGATCCGCATTTGCACGCAACAAATCCGCTTAGAAATCGCGTTGCTATATTAAGTATTTGCACTATAAATGATCGATCAACAAACTATGTTAAAATAGAGAGAAGTATGTTCTACGCGCATGTGCACATAAATGAAACAAAGCACTAACAAAATAATCAAAAAACCGGTCGCTTAAATCACTCGTCTTGACGCGTCGAAGTTTCGTTGTAAACTAAATGTGAACTAGAGATTTTGGGATATGGCTGGCGCATCCATAGCACCAACATTAAAACCACCACCAAAGCGGCGAATCGACATGAAAACACGAAACGATCGCGCAGCATAATTTGTTAGTGGTGAAATGCAAAAGAAAGTTAGTGGTACAACAGAGAAGTAGCAGCAACAGTAGCAATCAGCATGCCTGCGAGCGCATGCGCACCCAGGTGTAGATCAAGCAACTTGATCGGCATTACAACAACACGTTACAACATTACAGAAATAAAATAAGTTTGTAAACAACACGCGCTCGTGCGCGCACGATCACTCCACTACTACAACACACCACACTTGTTGCATCAAATGTGTTACAAATACATATTCACCACAGCTTACCTTCGCGCTCAACAGGTGCGCTTACCATGAATGTTGAGAAAGAAGAGCACCAATAAGATAAATTACACAAATTTGTTGTAGTCAAACTTTTAACTGTCCGCGAGCTAGTTAATTTTAATGTTAAGAGTTGAGTTCATACACTCGCGCTCTCTCACCACAGCTCAGTTTGGCGGTCTCTCACACACTCTCTTTTAACTGTTTTACCATCAACACAAACAAACAACATGCGCCGCCGCTACAGCCCCACTCACTTTTGGCCTTTGGCTCTCTCTTGGCGTGTTCTTCATTGAACGCGCCTATTTAAAGTAATCGCTGTCGCTTTTTTCAGCAACTGCTCGAGGTCATTTGACACAATTAACGTAGCTAAAGGATCGTTCGTGTTGTTTAGCGCAATGATTAATGTTGATGCTTGTAGACGATCGAAGACTGATCATGTTTGCCAGTGGAAAGTGGAGCAATCGCAATAAGTGCAGCAAAATAAATATGTGTAATTATTTTTAAATTTGGAATTTGTTTGTGTTCTTAATGTACACAGTAACGCAGTAGTAACCGTAACAGTAAGTAGTCCGTACTACCACACGAGTCATTCATATATTTCGCTCTCTCAAAACGTCTAAGAACTTTCTATTTCTTCATTACTTAAATATGACAAATATTCGTCTTTTTGTAGTTTTGGACTCAAGGGATGACTCCAACTCAGTCTGTTATCAATATTTTCGCGAAAAAAATAAAACAATACATCTTACTCTTAAGAACAGGTTAGAAAACTTCAGTTACAAGCATACCTCTGAACAGAACCTTATAGCTTGGACATTTTACTGAGTATTTGAGTTCCCGTTTCTACCCAATACCACGGGTTTTCGAAAACCAATAGAATTAAACTTTTATTCCCTTCCAGAGAAGAGTGGGTGAGGTGGACAAGGACGCGGGGATAGGCACCTGTGCGGATAGTTCCAAACTAGATAACCTAGTGGGAGGAGGTGTTTTTTTTTAGCAAAACTAAATACCAAAATCGCCTTCCATCACTAAAGTCTCTTAGGATTACGTCAAAGTTAGTGAAAGAATGCCTTGATCTCTTAGTGTATCTAACAATCTTTTTCACGATAAGCCCACAATCGGAACACTGTAATGGATCAAGAGGTAATAAGTCACCGCCATTCCGCCTAAAAATATTGATAGTGAATTATAATTCCAAAGGGTGGGTGGATGTTTCTCGAATATAATTCTGAAATGGAAAAGTTTCTGATTTTAAAGTCAGATTCTTAATTTTTTCTTTTATTATGGACATATTTTTTTATGATAGTATAAGTATAGCAGAAGAACAAATAAAGACTTAACTCAAAACTAAAATTTTGGGATCTCCAGATCTTCTGGGGACTGCATTTATATATGGATCTAAGATATAGATTGGGTGCAGATGAGGTTTTAGTTTTTTAAACTTCATTCTTTTTGTTTCGATTTTAATATAAACAATACTCGTATAGTATCATCAAGAGAAAACTCACCTTTTAGACACTCAAAAACCCCCTTGATGTAGTCACCAGTGTCGGCATTAGTTCCAAAATCTCCCTCCCACTTTAGTAATCACCGCTGCAAAGAGAATAATATATAAGTAAGGAGAAATGTAGTATATTAAAGTAAATATTTAGACACACGCTGAAGCGTTAGTAATTAATTTAACTAATTAGTAGCGAGAGTGAATCAAAGTGAAATTCTTTGGCGACCGACGAGCAAACAAACAAAGTGCGAGTCCTTTCCTACAGCATATTTACATACATACAGTTAACAAACTGGAACTGAGCGCTTAAACTAACTGTGCTTCTGCAAAATTAAACAACAAACAAATAAATGAGAAGTGGAAATATTTTAATTACTGAGAAGTTAGTTAGCGGTGGTGTGGAGTTGGGAGAAAGGTTTCACTAAGAAAAGGCGGATAAGAAGAAGGATAGGAAAATATAATACGTAAATTGAAAGCAGACTACAGTTCTGAAGTTCAAAACCGTTGGCAACAAAGCTCACATAATTGAATACTTAGCAGATACTAATTTTTTGAGCAAATGACTTTGAAGAAGCCAATAAATAAAGCACATACGTGATGTTAAGGTACACATTATAGAAATAGAGTTGGTGTGTAGACTTTAAGTTCATGAGCTTAAAACACGCCAATGCCACGTTGCTCATAACGACGCAACAGCTACCATATTTTCACGTACATAAATACTTTAGAGTGAGTTACATATGAAACTTTAAAAACAAGAAAAAACGTTAACTTCGGTTGCACCGAAGCTATACCTTCACAAATATAAAGGTCCCTTACATGAACTTGATTCCGAACGTTCAATTTGTATGGCAGCTATATGATATAGTGATCTGATCTGACCAATTTCTGCGGAGAATAATTTGTTGCCTTAAGCAAGAACTCGTGTCTAGTTTCGTGAAGATACCTCGTCAAATAAAAAAATTTTCCATGCAAGAACTTTACTCCGATCGTTCAGTTAATATGGCAGCTATATGTCATAGTCATCCGATCTATACAATTTGTTCGGAGATTGGATTAATGCCTTAAATAATGATACGTGCCAAATATCGTGAAGATACCTCGTCAAATGAAAGAGTTTTCCATACAAACACTAGATTCCGGGACTAGTTTGTATATATACAGACAGACGGACAGACGGACATGCTAAATCAACTCAGCTCATCATGCTGATCATTCATATATATATTTTATAGAGTCTCCGACTGGGTGTTACAAACTTCGTGGCAAACTTAATATATATATATATATTGTTCAGGGTATAATAACATAAAGCAATGGAATGTTGGATAATAACAGTCAAATTTGAGATATTAAAGACTTCAGTTACTTTTTTTTTTAAACAAGAGCAGCTCCTAGATATCAGATGTATTTACTATTTGTTCACCTTTAAAAGAGTGAGTGCACAGAAAAACGACTTTAGATTTACTTCCCAACAGCATCCAGTCATAAACCACTCAACATGTGCCAGTTTGTCAGTTGTACTTTCGCCTATGAGTAGTTTTACTAATAACTAATATAAATATAATTTTATAATTTTCAGAGACACAAATAAAAGTTGGTTCGTAACTTAAAGAAAATTTGTTATCGTTACAGTTTAGGATTGGAAAATGTTTTCCCTGAATTTCCAGATTAATGCGTGCTTAGTACAAAAACGTTTCGAAGCATCCTAAAGATTCCAAATGAAATATTAAAAAACTGAAAGGTATTTAAATACGAATTGAATATATGTGAAGAGCTAGTCTGACTGTTATGGAGAAACCGGAAACGTAGATGACAACCCAGGAAGAGGGAGGAATCACGAGACTTCTAAAAACGAGCATTATCTATTGGTCTCCTTTTTAGAATAAAACATTGCTCATTCTAAGGGAAGCTAAAGAAAAGTTTGTTTAAAAAGCAATTAGATATATATCTAAATACAATACGGGACAGACTTCAGAGCTCTGGCAGCGAACGCAGCAGTACTGTAATCAAACCCCAATTTGAAAAACATTAAAAACCGGTTGCATTGGGCGAGGGAAAACATCAACAGTGCTTGGAGCAATGAAATATTTTCAGATGAGTCAACTTTTGTATTGTTCAACCCCTGGGACGTATTTGGCTAAGAAATGGACAAACATCCACTGAAAGGAATGTTAAGCACCCCCAAAAGCTGCATGTCTATGGATGCTTCCCTGCTCATGGACTTGGCGTTGATACCATTGTATAAAGAGGGTTTACTGAAAACTATGGAAGACTTAGCCATCATAATTATATTGGCTTATCAAAAGCTATCTTAGCTTGTAGGTATATTGAACAACAGGCATTGCCAGTTGATTGTTTTTTTTCGTTCACAATAGTTGGGGTTTTGTAAAAAAAAGGCGTTGGCAATACCGACAATAAATCTTCTCTTCATGTCAGACATTTTAAAGTACATTGAATATCAGCTGACTGTTCTTGCCCGCATTGCCCACACAATTCTAAAATATGAAATAAGCTAAGTGCGTTTTATTCGTCAACGATTTAACTATTAGCTTATAACGGTCAAATAAAACATACATATTGTTACTATGGATTGACCATCACAGTCACCAGACATCAATTTAATAGAGAATGTTTGGGCTTTATGAAACCCAAAATATCAAGAAAACATTTAACATCAACAAAAATTTTCATTCGGCTACTCCAACATACTTGGAGGTCAATTCGTAAGAGTAAACGCACTGTAGTTCAGAGTTAGTTCCAAAAGGATCCTGATAACTTCGCGAATTCACCTCCTGAAATTCCATCCTTTATCACGACTTACGTATATTATGTACTAGGGAAAATTTTCTCATGAGATCCATTAGCTGCTCGGAGTCAGCTTAACAGTTGTAGAACTGAGTTCGGCAATAATTTTAATTTATACGGACTACGGGATATAATAAGAACGTTGCTAAAAAAATACACTTGTATTGTAAAAATACAATTGTATGGTTATTTATTCTCCAATTTGATTCCTAAATAAAGTAAAGAACCCAAGAGTGTTATTAATTTTTATCCGATTCCTGGTTTAATATATATTATTTATAGCAGTTTAAAGTGTAAAAAAATAAATATT